ATTTCTTCTTGAATTTCTTTGGATCGTGGCATGATGCTCTGATCTTGTAGCCTACTTCACTTTGTCTGACACATTCTATTTAAGTGATTTCTTGATTCAACACATGTGGTGGTCACATCAGGTGTGGGTGTGGCCTGTGAAATTGAACTCAGCTTTCCTAAAATTGTGATTAGTCACAGTTATTTTGTGATTTAACAAAGGGGGGCAATTACTTTTTCACAGAGGCCCAGACAAGTTTGTAATTTTTTCTCCCTTGGTAAATAAAATTTAAAATTTAATTAAATTTAAAAATGTTCTATTTCCTTGGGTTGTCTCTGTGTCATACTAAAATTGGTTTGATGATCTGAAACCTTTGTGTGTGATAAATATGCAAAAAACACAGAAATCAGGAAGGGGGGAAATACTTTTTCACAGCACTGTACATTGAGTTGCAGTACTTCTGTTTTGTTTATGAAGATGGCATGAAAACAGACTCTTAAGTAGCTCTGTGAATGTCTGAAGAGACTGACTGCGCTCCTGGTGCTCCCCAAGAATCAGGATATGTAACTATGTTCTCAGAGAACAGGGGGAGGAAACAAAATAATTAAAGACCATGGTCGACCAGGAGGCAGCCGGGCTTAATCTCTTTCAAAACAAACTCAACAAGACTCAACTCAATGTGAAATGGCTTTACAATGTAAATGCTGAACTGGCAACAGCAGTAGCTCTTAATAGAGCTCAGCACTATTGCTATACAGTAGATCTGGTAGGACAGAAGCTTTGCTGACTATAGCATAGATCTTTCAGACTTACCACAGCCGTAGACCAAAGGCAGTTCTAGTTGATCCTGTAGAGAAAAGTCTCACAAGTGATAGAAATCTGTGGAAATTAAAGCAAATACACAAATGAATAATGACTGACTTGCTGTGACAACAAACAGAACACTATTTGACGTTTGAAGTTCGCTTTACCAGTGCATTTTCCTGATGTTGTGATGCCATGTTTCAGCCTTTGTTAAGCAGTAACTTTTAATTTGAAAGGTTCTTTGTGAATCTGTAAACATAACAGACGATATTAAATTCAATATAATTGGTTTGCTGGTAGAAATCAATGACTTTGTGAAATTAAGGTCTGTTGTGAAAGCAGTGGCCAGTTTTTCCATAGCAGATAATATGAAGAACGGCTTAATTAAGTTTCATAATTGACAATGACCAAATTCATTAGTTGCAGCTCCCAATACCAGCCTCCAGGAGCAGATAATGGTCTGCTAGGTTATCTAACAGTTACCTGCTCCAAATGACTGCTCATGCAGATCCAACTATTTCACAGCATTTGGGTGGTTGGCAAATTCACTTCATTGCGAAATTTATGGTTTAGTCGCTGATTTGGTATTCAATTCAACGTACCAAATATTCTCCACTGCGTTGCTCTGAGCATGGCACCGTCCCCACTCACTGCTCCCCAGGCACTTAAAGCTGCCCACTGTTCACTTTGGTGATGGGTTAAAGGAGAGGTCATATTTCGTTGTGTGCGGTGTCACAATGACAAGTAATTCACTTTCCGTTCCTTTTCCTTAAACCAATATCGCCTAACAACACTCCCCCACAAACAGGCAACCTGTCAGAGATCTTTCAGCATACAGGCCAACAAATAGTTGTAAAGGTCAACTACTCTTGCAGAGACTTAAATCTAATCTGAGGAGCTGCTCAGGACCTCAACACACCTTATGGTGAACACTGAAGATGCCGAAAGGGAAAGAAATGTAGAACAATGCTGCTTCCCTAAAAGAAGCTAGACAAACCAAATGCAGTGTTTAAGTCAGCAATCCATTTACCATTCAATTATTCTCAAGTAAAAAATGCATGTCAGGTAACAGGTTTGCAAATTTCTGAAGAAAAGGTGACTGCCCAGGCACCATCTGGTTTGGTAAGCAAGAGGGACGGTCCTTCTTTGCTGTGGGAGTCTGGCCTTTACTGCTGCTACTACCTGATAAAGCCTATCTGCTCGGCACAAACACACACACGACTGTTTACCAGAGTGGGCTCATGACCCGTACGTGCAGCTCAGCCAGGCTCTAGGTTCAAAATCACACAGTGAAGGCTAAGCCCTTCAGAGCCTTAACATTACTCCTGTCTTGTGACTATGCATCAGCAGTACTACACTATTGGAGGAAAAGGCATCGGTTATTTGATTATGTGTAGCAAGTTCTAACAGTGTTGTGTTCATAAATTATACCAAAGAGAATCAGAGACTAACCTTTTCCAGTTTCCCTTGGAATTGTATCAACCTATGAATAATGGTGCTTATAATAGCCACAGACAGTACTGTATGATGTACGCTTAAGCAAACATATTTGCATGTTGGTTTACTGTGGACAAACAAGAAATTTAGCAAGCAGACAACTCATTAAGTCTATTTCAAGTGACCTGGATGTTTTAGTATAGTAGCGATTTATCTTTATTGATTTATCTTCTCCCATTTTTTTTCTATAATTTATCTTACAAAAAGGGGGGGCGAAATAAAACCCAATCACTTCACCTGTCCTGTTGTGAGATATTGTAAACCATTAATAGGCCTCTGAACTATGTGTTTGTTTTTCTGGAGAATCCTGTACTCTCTGGGAGTTTTTTTCTCAACTAGTATTTATTTGTGAACAGGGGAGATTTATGTTTGTCATTTAGAATCAAAACGTAGAGGAGTGTCATAATTGTGTTGGATGCACAATTGGTACATAGATCACATTAAACCTAACTCTAGTTGGAAGACAACCTGCCCTACCCATTTGAGCCACCATTTGAGTGTTTTTTGTTTAAATGTATTTGCAACTCATTGCAAGATTAGAGAGATACATGGGACCCTTCATTGACCTTCATAGTTCATGCACTTGACGCGATTTTGACCTTTATGTCCAGGTATGAAATAGAACCTAGAGATGAAGTTCTGCACACAAGGTAAATTACATCACTTACACCACTCTTCATTTAGAGACAAGGAAAACACATCGTACCCTTTAATTGATCAATGCATCAAAGGTATGGGATGCATGGTCTAATGTGAAAACACATTGAACACGCCCATTTCTTCTTCATTTCTCTGTCTTTAAGGCTAGTGAACATGCATAGGTTTCAGGAAAATTATTTCATGTTGACCTTCTCCAGAAACAGTCTATATAAAATATTTTAACCAGCTACTTGCACAGTTTTCATTTATCACAATATTTATCAGGAGTGAAAACAAGTGTAAACAAACTAGGCAATTTCCAACCGAACATATCCACCCTGAGATTACAAGATAATGCTGAGTAAATACATCAGAAGCCTAGGATTATAATAAAGGAGAATAATCCATATCAAAAGTAGACAATAAAAATTAATAATATTAACTGACCTGCAATTAGCTCTGATCTAAATGTTATAGAAAATCTGAAGAATGTGTAAGTGATCACAGAACTAGACCCCACTACAAGATCAATAAAAAAAACAGATACAACCCTTTTAAAGACTAGATAGAAAATGATTTAAAGTGACCCCAAATTATTGCTGTTTTTTTTTCCACTTCTTGGGGTTTTATCTTTAGCTGTACACTTGATCAGCTGTTATACTGACACCTTGGGTTTATAAAATACTAGACATACTGTATGTAACGTGAAACATCATAATCAGTTACAGAACAACCTAAAAAATATTTGCCCGGGGGTTCTATGTTGATAAACAAGACATTATATGCATTGTGTCACATTGAACCAAATGTACAACAATTAAATTTAGGAAATGTATGCAAAAACCTGACGTTAAAACTTGCATTTTTGTCGATACCTTTCATCAGATTTTACATATCGAAAAGCAACGCAATCTAGACTACTTCGGTCGGCAGTTTAATAAAATGAGATACATATTTTGAAATGTTTAACTGCAGTCCCATACCAAGGCTATCAAGCTGAGTGTTTTAGTGTTACTTCAAAGGTTGGGTCTTCAAATATCAACACTAACGTAAAAAAACGTAAATGTGTTTGTTCATCTAAGTATGCGGATTTAATGTTGCTGCCTTTAGCTAGCATTCAGCTGCAATTTCTGCAGCTAACGTTCTCAAATAATAGTGGTAGCGCTAATATGCTAGGGTAAATCCACAGTATATATTTAGTCCTGCTTTTATTTTTAATCATTGTGCAGTAGAGTATAAAATGACGGTGTTTTCAGTTAAACGACCAATACAAGGCATTAAGTCAAGTTAGACGCAGCTTTGCGAGCATTTAGCCGTTCCAGCTAACAGCCGCCGCCGAAGCAGTAGCAGCTCTGTTTTTGTTGAGATGGAGGGCGGGCCACAAAAAGCGGAGGCCTCAGTCAAAACACAACCGATGGACGAGCTTGGCCGGTGGCGGCACTTACCACGTCCGAGACTGCGTTGCGAAGTCGAGACAGCCGATGATTCAGCCGAAGCCCGTTGAGTTGCTGAGCAGGGAACAGACGTTGACTGAGTAATCACTGGTCATATCCGAGCCGAGGCCACTAGTGATGTGTCGTTCGCGAGTGATTCGTTCAAAATGGACGAATCTTTCATATGACACGTGACTCCCGAGTCATATGAAAGATTCGTGACTACCGAGTCATATTAAATATTTGTTCATATTGAACTCACGAATCACTCAAATCACTCACTGCGAACTAATCACACTCTGCGAACTAATCACTCACTGCGAACAAATTACTCTCTGCGAACTAATCTTTCACTGTGAACTAATTTTTCACTACGAACTAATTACTCTGCAAACTAATCTTTCACTGTGAACTAATCTATCATTGCAAACGAATCACTCTCTATGAACTAATCTTTCACTGTGAACTAATCTTTCACT